TTTGCCTTTAAGTGTCAGTACAGCTCTACCGGACGTGGGATGAAGATAAATTGCCTAAGCACTCTCAAACGTCACAACACGCGAATCCCGCTATCATTCAGGGGTCAACTTTGATGTAGTATTGCCAGAAAAGGCAGTCAGAGTGCCGCATCATATGTACTAGCGCGTAAAGAGCAACAGCTTGAAAATAGCGGATGCAATAATTTGATGTTCATCAGATATGAATGCAGAAGTATCAAATGATACCGCGATGAGGAGAAAATCAGGAAGAATCGGCAAAATCAGGAGAGTGAGGCTTTTACTTTGTTCGCTGATTTTGGACGAGTTTACGGCATAGATACAGGTCGTTTGGGTGAGAGCATTTCGGTGGAGTATAAGAGGCGACAAGGAGAAGGTACTGCTGTTTGGAATGAAATAAAATTGTGACATGAAAATCGGTCGACAATCATAACACTATCGCAGAACCTCGAAGGCGGAACGGTTTTGGGGCGGTGCGGTTCTCAGGTGTGGAGCCCAACTGTGCTGCGATAGCCCACCATTTGCCACAAAAGCCAGATCCCACCTGGCTTTCACTTCCATGATTGCATACCCTTCCCAATTGTGAACCCATTTTATCGCTCTGGCCATGAGTGCCTTTTGGCGTGTTGAACCATTTCGTGTGTTCATGTGCATAGTTTTACAGGAATCTGTCTCTATTGAGCCGCCTCCCTTCAAGGAAGTGAAGAAAGAATAGGAAGAATCACAAAACGGATGTGGGCCTCAAATTCCACACGGTAGACTTGCGAGCGCATAATTATTCTTTTCTTCATGTGTTTGGCGACTTATACAGATGTTCGTTATCAAAAGCATCGCAACTCTCTGAAAACTCACAGGCTGAAATGAGGCGAAATCAACACTTTGGGAAGCTCGTTACTAGTAAAACACCAATAACCACAATGGAAAGAAACAGCTACTGAAATTCACTAGAAATGGGAAACGTCGTCTGATCGATAGCACAGTGAAGCGGGATCGATAAGAATGCGTGACTTCGGAGGAGGCGCCGTGAATGAATCACCTCGTTGATTCACTGAAATTTGAGTGGTTGCTGCCAGCTTGCAATACAATATGCTTATACGAACATGCCATATATGCATATGGTAAAGTAAGCGGATCAGCTGATTTGTCTCAATCGGCCGCTGTGGTGTGTGCCGTGCGTTTGAAATCGCATTAAAAATATTGATGATTTTTGGCTATGGTGGAAATTGGTGCTTCATTTATTCTCATGCTTTTGAAGCCATCGATGCCGAGCCAATGTCTCGATACTCAAAAGACTATGGGTTAAGGATGACTTTGCTAGCGTGTGTGAAACAGGATCCACCTTCTACACGAGTGATAGCGATACGTCTGGGTACTACGGTGGACAATATGATGATACTGTAGTGCAGGTACGGTCACGGCGAACCTGTCTCAGTTCCATCAGTTGAGCGCTTCTCTTCTTGACTTGAGTGAGGCAGCACTTTTTAATGGCGAAATTTCAAGCGGCGAAGCAACAGACGCGCCACTCGTTTGGTACCTCGATGGAATAAGTCAGCTACCGTTCATCTGCGCTTCCACGAAATCGCACACGTCTTCTCTACCAGATTTTTCGTTGCAGTGACAGATGCATCTACTTTCCGAACGGGTCAGATCGGCAGCACACACTCAAGTGTTCGCG